AAAGGGAAGGGGCCTTGAGTGAAGAAAGCATGCACTGGTGAGATTCTTATTAACTTAGCTTATACCCAAATTCTGTTTTATAAATGCAGTTATTTTCAAAATGCAAAAATTATAGCAAATAAATCATGTTAAAGACTACAAGTGAGATTCGGCTGGCAGAAATGTCATCACAGTGAAGGCTTCTTTAGCATGGAGCCTATTACACTCCCCGGTTGACTATCCAAAATAAAAGCTACCTCCAAAGGATTAACCTATACAAATAGTGCCTTCCTGAGTTCTTGTTACAGTAACAGCAGAGCTCACCAAGGAACAAATTACACTTACCTGCCTCTTTTACTTTGCAAATTGAAAGAGATACTTGAGGTCTTTAATTCCACCTAGCCTAAATCCTGACATGAATAACTATCACTGGCCAACAAAACATAACCAATCAGAATGTCGCTATGTTTAAGTATCAACAAAGGAAACTGAACCTAAAAATGTAGGAATCAAAGAGAATTCATAGAAAAGCAGAAAACACATGACACTCTTCTTATGACTTCAAAATACGTATTTACTACTTACATACTAGGGGAGGTTCCTGTTTAAATCTCTTGCATGTTTCAAGCATGATTTCATTTAAGCAAAATTCCCCTGCTGCAGCTTATTTTCCCCAGAATTGATCATAATTAAAAAAAATAATCATGTTTATTCATTTCCCTCAATGTCTCAGTGACAAGACACTCCAAACTACATTGCTATTGCTAAAAATTTCTCAGATATTATCTCTTTATATCCAAACTTTCCCCTGCATCTTCTTTAATCCCTCAGTGGTAGCAATACCTACTTGGTTTGTATCAATAAGACCCCGGCTGGGTGCGGTGGCTCATGCTTGTAATCCCAGCACTTTGGGAAGACAAGGCAGGTGGATCACGAGTTCAGGAGTTCCAGACGAGCCTAACTGACAGAGTAAAACCCCTTCTCTACTAAAAATATGGAAAGTAGCTGGGCATGATGACTACTCAGCTACTCAGGAGGCTGAGGCAGGAGAATTGCTTGAACTCAGGGGGTGGAAGTTTTATTGAGCCAAGATTGGGCCATTGCACTCCAGCCTGGGTGACAGAGCAAGATTCTGTCTCAAAAAAAAAAAAAAAAAAAGACACCAGTAAACTCGTTCTTAGGTTTGGAGAATTCTTAATAAAAATTCCAAGAAACAATAATTTCAAGGAAGTTTATGAAGTAAGGGGTAAGTTTCAGTTTATAGACACTGTCAAAGAACATGCTCTCCATGTTTTTTTTCTTTCAATTTATAGTTATTTTATTTTCTCATACCAAAAATGATGGAAAAATAAAGAAACTGCCTTTTTCCTCTTAGAGTCCTTATGTTTCAATTTTCTTAAACTTCTTTATTTATTCCACTGTTTATCTTGATCTATTATACATGCTATCTGAAATATATCTGAGGGTGTTAATTAGAATTATACCTGAGGGTGTTAATTAGAAATTATAACTAAAAGTGAAAATAAAAAATATATATTCACTTTACCATAAGAAACCAGATGCTTGGATTTATTTCTGTGGCTTTAAAGTCACATGCCCATAAGAAAATTTCAGTCAAAGACAGACCACATATACAATGAGGGTTGTTCCAAAAATTATAATGAAGCTGAAAAACTTCCTAGCACTTGGTGTCTTTGTAGATGTCTGTATATTCCATTCTTGCATTGTTATAAAAAACTACCTGAGACTGGGTAATTCATAAAGAAAAAAATGTCTAACAGACTCACATATCTGCAGGCTATACAGGAAGCACGGCTGGGGAGGCCTCAGGAAACAAAATCATGGCAGAAGGTGAAGGGGAAGCAGGCATGTCTTATATGGTCAGAGCAGGAAGAAGAGAGAGCAGCAGGAGGTGCTACACACTCTTAAACAACCAAATCTCATGAGAACTCACTATCGGGAGAACAGCAAGGGGAAATTTTGTCCCTATGATCCAATTACCTCCCACCAGGCCCCTCCTCCAACAATGGAGGCACAAATCCAAACCATATCAATGCCTTAATGTTGGAACACAATGCATTGCTCACATGTTTATGGTAATGCTAGTGGAAACTTACTGCAATGCTAGTCATATAAAAGTATAACATAAAATTATGTACAGTACATAATACTTAATAATAACTATGTTACTGGTTTATGTATTTATTATACTATTTTTTATCATTATTTTATGATGTACTTCTTTTACTTATATTTTCTTAAAAGTCAACTGTAAAATAGCCTCAGGCCAGTCCTTCCAGAGATATTCCAGAAGAGGACGTTGACATCATAGGAGATAACAGCTCCATGTGTGTTACTGCCCCCGGACACATTCCAGGGAGACAAGATGTGGAGGAGGAAGACAGTGATGTTCATGATCCTGACTCTGTGTAGACCTAGGCTAATGTGTGTGTTTATGTCTTAGTTTTTTATTTTATTTTATTTTATTTTATTGCATTTTAAGTTTTGGGGTACATGTGAAGAACATGCAAGATTGTTGCATAGGTACATACATGGCAATGTAGTTTGCTGCCTTCCTCCCCATCACCTATATCTGGCATTTCTCCCCATGTTATCCCTCCCCAATTCCCCACCTCTCATTGTCCCTCCTGTAGTTCCCCTGCATAGACCCCAGTGTGTGATGCTCCCGTTCCTGTGTCCATGTGTTCTCATTGTTCAACACTCACCTATGAGTGAAAACATGCGGTGTTTGATTACAAAAAAGTTTAAAAAGCAAAAACTGAACATTTTTAAAAATAGAAAATATCTTATAGAATAAGTATGTAAAGAAAAACATTTTTGTACAGCTGTACAGTATGTTTGGTTTTATGTTATGTTATTACAAAAGTCAAAAAGTTAAAGAAAATGTTTCTTAAATTTAAAGTTATGATAATCTAAGGTTAATTTATTACTGAAAAAAGAAAAATATTTAAATAAATTTAGCATGACCTGATTGTACAGTGTTTATAAAGACTACAGTAGTGTCATGTAATGTCCAAGGTTTTCACATTCACCCACCACTCACTCACTGAATCAACCAGAGCAACTTCCAATATTGTAAACTTTATTTATCCTAAGTGTCCTAGCAGATATATCACTTTTTATCTTTTGTACTTCATTTTTACTGTATCTTTTCTATGGTTAGATACACAAATACTTATTATCATGTCACAATTGCCTACAGTATTCAGTATAGTAACATGCTGCACAGGTTTGTAGCTTAGGACCAATGGGCTATACCATATAGACTAGGCATGTATAGGCTACACCATCTCGGTTTGTGTCAGTACAGCCTAGGATGGCCCCACAACAGAATTGCCTAATGATATATTTCTTAGAACATATCTTGATCATTAAGTTATACCTTACTATATTTTGGTTAGTTATGGAGACTGAACTTGACCTTACATTGTTTTAAAATACATCTCAAAGTCTCAGTAATTTAATAAATCTAATCTGCATTGTCTTCTAATCTACTTAGATTAGTAAATTCATTTAGAAATTAGATAGTTTGATTACATTTATTATTTAATTTTTTTTTTTTTGAGACAGAGTTTTGCTCTGTCACCAGGCGTCAAGCTGGAGTGCAGTGGTGCAATCTCAGCTCACTGCAACCTCCACCTCCCAGGTTTAAGCAATTTTCCTGTCTCAGACTTCTGAGTAGCTGGGACTACAGGCGCATGCCACCATACCCAGCTAATTTTTGTATTTTTAGTAGAGACAGGGTTTCGCCATGTTGGCCAGGATGGTCTTGATCTCTTGACCTCGTGATCCGCCCACCTCAGCCTCCTAAAGTGCTGGGATTACAGGCTTGAGCCACCACACCCAGCCTGTTACTTAATTTTAAGCACCCAAGTTCTTTCTAAATTAACCCAGCAATATACAGAAAACGATATGCACAATTCTTTCATTTTCTATATTGACAAGCTATGACTCAGAGGCCAACCCTCATCTGCCGCCTGTTTTTGTAAATAGTTCTGTTGGGAAACAGCCATGCCCATACACACTGATGGCTGCAGAGATGACTAGTTGGGACAGTGATCATTTGACTCACAAAGTCTATAATATTTACTAAGTGTCTTTTTTCAGAAAAAAATTATGTGCAATATTCTGTCCCCTCAAATATATACTTTAAGCATGCAATAACAAATTGTATATTTTTTAAACCAAGATGCTCATTTAAAAACATGCAATAACGAATTGTATATTTTTTCAACCAAGATGCTCTTTTAAAACATTCAGAGTATATATAACTTCACCTGTTTTGCCATATCTTCCTTATTAGTAATAAGGAAGATTTTTCATTCATAAATGGTCATGAGTAAATGTAAAAATTAAACCTAGTTATACATTGTAGAGTTGGTTTTATATCAAAACTTTTATTTATCATTAGTTCACTTATTGGCTGCTTTTTTAGATGACTAATATCGGTGACAGAAGTGACAGATTTCTCTTACTAAATTATGCCATTAAGCCTTGATCTTAATGGTCTGTGCTAATTCCACCAGTATTAGCTGAATGGAGAGTTTGGAAATCTCAACTTGCCCCAGTGGCTTACCTGTACAGATACCCTGTAGGAAAACACTGGTTGGCAATCTTGGAATTTAATAATTTTATTATTACATAAAAATGTCTACATTATATAATACAATTTAAAAAATTTTACTCACAGTCAGGCATGGTGGTTCACACCTGTAATCTCAGCACTTTGGAAGGCCAAGATGGGTGGATCACCAGGTCAGGAGTTCAAGACCAGCCTGGCCAAGATGGTGAAACCTTGTTACTACTAAAAATATAGAAAATTAGCTGGGCGTGGTGGCACACCTCTGTAATCCCAGTTACTTGGGAGGCTGAGGCAGAGAACTGCTTGAACCTGGGAAGCGCAGGTTGCAGTAAGCTGAGACTGCACTTCTGCATTCCAACCTGGGTGACAGAGTGAGACTTCATCTCAAACAAACAAACAAACAAGAACATTTACTTACACGATCTTGTATGGGCTGGCTATCTGCCAACATTGATTTCTGTGCTCTGTGTGACGTCACCAACATGGAACATGATGGAACATTGCTCCAAAGAGCCACGTAGCCATATATTGGAATGGATTCTGTAAGAGTCAAAGGTAGGGATAAGAGGATTAATAATTATGTATTGAGTAATCCTCCCTTCCTCAGATTTATAGTTAACTACATACCTGATCATGCTATGAAAAAAAACAGGAAGACTTGTATGGAGAAAACTACCATAAGTCAAGATGGAACTTCTTGGAGAAATCTTTTCTATAATCTCAAAGTCCCCCATAATTTAACTCATGTCCTTGCTAACTAGAGCTACTTCAGTTTGGAGAAAAAATTATTATATATCATTTTTTAAAGCCTATAATGTTTCATATAGCTCTCTAGTAAAATGTCTTTCCCTTTACCACGAAATTGCACAAAGCACATGTGATGTCAAATGTATTTGTGTGTTTGATATCAAGTTACTGACCAAGTTTGAAGAAGGTGTTGAACCTAAGTTGTAAACATCAATTCTAAAAGTGAAATGGCAATGTCGCTACTCAAAAATGAAGTAGTCAAATGCAACATCATAATATAGTATAATATTTTAAGGTATATGTAATTTTGATGAGGTATAAATATGTGATCAGATTATATGATTGGAAAACCTAAAAATAACATAACTTATATGTTTTTTACAAAGATAGTCCAACTTATTATGCTATTTAAGTAAAGTAGCAGCTAGGTGCATTGGCTCATGCCTGTAACCCCAGCACTTTGAGAGGCCAAGGCATGTGGATCATGAGGTCAGGAGTTCGAGAGCAGCCTAGCCAACATACTGAAACCCCGTCTCTACAAAAAATACAAAAAAAAAAAAAAGTCAGCCAGGCACGGTTACAGGCACCTGAAATCCCAGCTACTCTGGAGGCTAAGGCAGGAGAATCACTTGAACATGGGAGGCAGAGTTTGCAGTGAGCTGCGATTACGCCACTGCACTCCAGCTGGGGCGACAGTGTGGGACTCTAACTCAAAAAAAAAAATTAAAGTAGTATAATTTTTATTTTATAAAACAAATTAAGAAACATCTTAACCAAATTTCAGTATGAACCAAGAATCCTTATGAAGCTTTGTGTTGAAGGAATAGATTAAGGTTTTTGAGAAAAACTTACATTCAGTTTAAAGGTTGATCGTAGACCCATACCGCATCAACCTTAGAACCGTTGCTTCCTTTTTGCTTTCTTCTCTGCACCATGTTTGTATAATACCCACTGCCTTAAATTTGATTTCACTTCCCATTTCATTATTTTAAAAGAACATTTTCTTTTTCTTGGATATATTTTCCATCTTTTTTATGAACTTTCATCAGTTCTACCAGGCACACTTAAGAGAGGCCCATTCCCTGAGCCCTTTTCCTTCTCCTACCAGGAAACAAGCTTCCATCAATATCAACCACAAGTGATGAATTCTGCAGGCACATGAGAATGAAATTCGCAAATATCCTCAAAGACATAGGATGGGCATTTAGACCCATCTGATTCACAAATGGAAGGACCCTGAGAAAAAGCTATGCCTGTTTATCTATACCTGTTTTCTTGCTGAGCTTCTAAAAGGAAAAGAAATAAGAGCTCCTAAGAATGTGCTTTAAAGCCAGTTATGCTCCTCTCTTTTTTACATTGCATGCCAGTATATTCCTTCAATTTTATCAGTATGGGCCAATGTTTCTAGAAGGATAGTTAGCTTCTTCAGCAAACACCTAACAAGAGATAACCAAAATATTTAAAAAATAAAAAGTTCTAATTCAGCTCTTATGCAATTTCTCCCCAAGAATCTGCCCCAAGTTAACTGACATATACTTGAAAGCCCTATAACAATGCACTTTGTTCCATAACTTCATAGCCATAATATTAAAAACTAGGGCTTATGTATCCACATCATTGGCTCTATATGGCCAAGTGTGTGTCTGGAAAAACTTATGTCTGACCTTAAAATTTAATTAGCACATACTGAAATGGAAATAGATGCAAAGAATGTTATAAACTCTAAAGAACTTTCAGCTCAGCATTTATATTTCATGCAGTAAGAAATTGAGTCCCAGGAGACCAAGTGACTTGCTCTGACCAGCAAAACTATCTAGGAACTGATAAGCATTTCCTTTAAAAATGTGAAGATGCTATACAGAGTTGTAGTGAACAAGGAAATTCAACGTTCCAGCTGACAGATCATAGCTGAGCCCCTCCCGAGAAATGCTGTCAAATGGAAGAAAGCTACCTAGCTGCCTGTAATCCCAGCACTTTGGGAGGCCGAGGCGGGTGGATCACGAGGTCAAGAGATCGAGACCATCCTGGTCAACACGGTGAAACCCCGTCTCTACTAAAAATACAAAAAATTAGCCGGGCATGGTGGCGCGTGCCTGTAATCTCAGCTGCTCAGGAGGCTGAGGCAGGAGAATTGCCTGAACTCAGGAGGCGGAGGTTGCGGTGAGCCGAGATCGCGCCATTGCACTCCAGCCTGGGTAACAAGAGCGAAACTCCGTCTCAAAAAAAAAAAAAAAAAAAAAAAAAGAAAGCTACCTAGCTTTCGTTGTCAGGTAATGGCTTTTTCTTCCAGGAATCTGGCCTGTTTCCAGAGTTGGAACATCTCTAAAGGGCCATTCTGCCTCTAGAGGACTCCCCAGGGATCCAGTGAGGCCACTGTTGCAACTTCATCATAGTCCAACTTCTTCCTCTGCCCACCCTGTTTCGATCCCCTCACTTCCATCACCAGGTGTTGTTCTTGAGAAGATGCCCCAGTAAGCCTCTCATACGTACATTTCTATCTCAGAGTCTGCTTCCCAGAAACCTGACCTGAAACAATGGTGTATTCTGTTACTTGAGAAAATGTGAAGCTGGAAACACTTGGATTACATAGAAGCAGATTATTGCAAGAATTCTTTTTTCTCTTTTTTTTTTGAGACGGGGTTTCGCTCTTGTTACCCAGGCTGGAGAGCAATGGCGCGATGTCGGCTCACCGCAACCTCCGCCTCCTGGGTTCAGACAATTCTCCTGCCTCAGTCTCCCGAGTAGCTGGGACTACAGGCACGCGCCACCATGCCCAGCTAATTTTTTGTATTTTTAGTAGAGACGTGGTTTCACCATATTGACCAGGATGGTCTCTATCTGTTGACCTTGTGATCCACCCGCCTCGGCCTCCCAAAGTGCTGGGATTACAGGCTTGAGCCACCGCGCCCGGCCTTCAAGAATTCTTTTAATATGACAGTATGCACTATAAAACATCAACAAATACCCAGAGTTAACCAAAGTTATTTAACTATAGAACCCTTTTGCATATTGAACATATCATGAGACTTGTGTTCTGGGGAATATGGTCTGGGAAACAGAAATGCAGTCATTCTAGCTCGCTTTAGAATATAAGTGCCGAAATTACACGTCAATATTTCCTGTAATAGCAAAAGAATGGAAACAACATAAATGTCCATCAGTAGGGGACTGCTTAAGTAAATTACAATAAAACCATACAATGTAATATTATGCATCAGTAGAAAAAAAGAGACCTTTTTTTAAATACTAGCATGAAAATGTATCCAAGGCATATTTTTTAAGTAAAAAGAACAAGGTTATTCAACAGTGTGTATTTGTTTTCAGAGAGGGGGATGGTTAAATATATACGTGAATTTTTTGTGTCTGCACAAAACATTTATAAGGACATACACTAGAAAATGAAAGCACTGCTTGCATCTATAGAAGGGAATTGGAAAGCGCTTGAACCTTTTGTGGTTTAAACCATGGGAATACATTACCTAGTCAAAAAATTATAATCGAAACACCACAAAATATTATATAGCACATATTTAAATACTTTGTCTAATCATATATGAAGAAAATCTGGGAAAAAGCCACAACACTCTATAAAACTACTTAGACGATGAACTCCTTGAAGACAAAATTCATTTAGAATACCCAAAGCGTGGCACAGTTTCTGAACCAAAGGAAGTGGTAAATAATTTACTTAATTGAATCCTATTACTTCCAATACCCCAGCGATTTAAGATAGCATCCCTGACGTTGTTGTTTTTGTTTTTGTTTTTACAATGTCTGAGAAACTCTAGAAATGGCGAAAATCTAGACCTTATGTGAATATACTTTCCTGAACTGGGCTTCCTGTTATTAGTCTGTAGTTAGCAACACTGTAAAAGTCTCCGGACCTCTGTTGTTGATCATAGTAGCCATTAACCACATGTGGCTATTTAAATTTAACTGTAAATTAATTGGAATGAAACTAGAAATTCACTTCCTCACTTGAGCCAGACACACTGCAAGTATTAGAAAACCACATGTGGTAAATAGCTACCATGTTGAAAACAGAAGACATAGAACATTTTCACTTCAGAAAGCTCTGTGGGAAAGAATATATCCAGGTATAGACTGGTTTCAGACAGATCTGGGTTTGAAATCTGAATTAGCCTCTTACTAATTGTAAGGTTTGGGACAAGTTAATTTCTCAGGGCCTAATTTTTTGTTTGTTTTTGAGACAGAGTCTTGCTCTGTAACCCAGGCTGGAGTATAATAGCACAATCTCTGCTCAATGCAACCTCCACCTTCCAGGTTCAAGCGATTCTAGTGCCTCAGCCTCCAGAGTAGCTGGGATTACAAGCATGTGCCACCACGCCCAGAAAATTTTTGTATTTTTAGTAAAGACAAGGTTTCACCATGTTGGCTAGGCTGGTCTCAAACTCCTGACCTCAAGTGATACACCCGCCTTGGCCTCCTAAAGTGCTGGGATTACAGGCATGAGCCACCTTACCTAGTCTCAAGGGCCTCACTTTTTTCATCTGTAATATGGGGAAAATGTTAATACCTACCTCAGACGGTCATTGTGAGGTATCAGTGAGCTCATTCATAAAAACTGCATAGAACAGGCCTTCACACTCAAAAATGTTACCATTTATTAGCAATTATCCACCATTGTGAATGTCACGGATCACCACACACCAGTCATGTCATCCATCACAGCTCTCCTATTTACCCTTCTCACAGGAAGATGAAAAGTATCCACTAACATTCTTATAGTCTAGTTCATTAAAGTGCTAGTTTGCAGTTTATAAATCTTGCAC